CTGACAGTGTTTTCTCAACAGAGTTGAACCCAAGTAGTCCGTGTGAGGAGTTTGCATTTGGAGATCACATACTGTATACTATATGGGTCATGTTTGTTGAGCAGTGGGTGAGGAAAGCCACTGGTTTACATAAGCTCACCAAGATGAAAGGACTGTCAGAAGAGTTCTTTTTCATATTGGAGAAAATCTAAAACAGTTTTTAGACATCAAGATCTACCCTGGAATGTACTTGTGCCTCTTTTGTTGACTTCACTGTGAATCACATGCTTTTGCAGGATTTGGCCTGGCATGTAGATTAGTAACAGTATCACTGTTGTCTTCACTCTGCCTGTTGGCCCAAAGCAATATTCTGAGCCTCATTCCAGTCCATAGGCACAGGCTGGACTCTGCCAATCTGTCCCTAAGCAGTCCATATAGATCACATACAAACAGTTTGGTAAAATTTAATAAGCTGTCCAAAAGCCTGTAACACTAGAGATGGCTTATCAATAACAAAATGATTCTCAGTATTATTATTAATTGTAATTAGCAAAAATTTTACCAGAATCTGATCTTTGCTGTGCAAGCTGAGGATGGCATTTTGTTGTATTTGATACTTACTAAGCTATAACTCACAAGATGGAATGGCTCAGATACAATTTTTTTTTTTTTTTAAAAGATCCATTGATAGCTGTTCTTATCTGAACCACAAGTGTTATGACTTCCAGAGTGAAAGAACATAACCGTATCTGAGAGCAAGGACAAAGCATCAACGTAGCAAACAGTTGCTCAGGTTGAAGACAAGCACCCTTGTCCTCCCTTCCACACTGCTGCTTGTTGCTCTACCAGTGTTGGTGGTTGACTTCACTGGTAGCTTTGCCAGCTGAAGAGTGCATGTGAGCACTGCCTGATCAGCATCGAGAAAATAGATGAGCTTAATTTATCTTCACTGGCTGTTCAGTTTAACTTGGTGGTTTCTGCCTTCTGCAGATTATGGAGTGCTCACATGGACACTTCTGCTGCTAGCACTGCGGGGAGTGGTAACCTCCAGCAGGTCGGATGGTGGCAAGCAGTTTTCAGTGGAAACACCTTCAAAGATGGGTGTCGATTTCCAGCATTAGAGGAAGTGAAAAGAGCATTGTGCTAGGGAAGCGGGAGCTATGGTTTGTTCCTGGCACTGATTCTGGTGTTACGGGATTGAGTCAAATCACTTCTTATCCATGCATCTGTTTCCCCTTCATCTGTCTTGTCCATTTAAACTCCTTGGAAAAGGGGCTGCCTGTCCTAATGTGGACAATGGCAAAATAATAATATTTTTATCCTGGTAGTCTTACAGGGCTGCTTAAAGTTGTTGTTTTGTAAATGGCCTTTAGATCTGAGTGGTTTGTTTTTTGTTTTGTTGTTTTGTTTTTTTTTTTTTTTTTCTTTCCAACCCTTTGCTTTTCCATTGCAAAGCTGACCCCACACTGATGTGTTTGATTATGTTTTCATTGCCACTGTACTTGCTTTGATTTTGCAACTCAGCGCCCAAAGCACTGGGTGCTGTACAAACAACATGGTGAAGTCAAGCAGGGTCAGCCCCTTTCTCTTTTTACCTTGAAAACAATGTGAAACTCCTATGTTTCTTTTGCTTGGCACTTCCAGTTCTTGAGCTCAAGGTTGTGTTTGTGTCTGCTGCCCTCCTGTTGTGTTCAGGTGTGAGATCACTTGGACAGTGTTTTCCATTGCTGCTTATGGGGGTACTGGAATCTGTGCCATCTGACTGGTAGTGTGTGAGATCAAGCTGTGAAGTGTGGAAAATTAATGCAAAAATAGCAGTGTGCTGAGTTGATGTCCATGTCTACACTGGATTTAGTTGTGTCTAGCTGCCATCACCAAGGAGGTTCACAAGTGTACACGTAGACTTATCTTGCTGGATCATGCCTGGCCACTGTCTGTGACAAGGGAGTTTCTCCTGTTTCTCACTTCTCCTTTTTGCTTTTGGCAGCAATCCTTTCTCCATGGGGATGCAGTTTGAGTGTGGCCCATGTCCAGCTCTTTTAAGAAGTGCCAGGTTACTGGCTGTTGATCTGAGAAAGGGAGAAGGAGCTGGATAGCTTGATTCTGCGCTACCGTAGTATTGTCAGCCACTGTATCAGCCTTCAGCATGAATAGAGCAGCCTCTAGAAACATTCATAAAACCACAGACCTTAATACTTTTGCATTTTAGGCTTGTTCCCATCTTGTTCCTGCTATTCCCTTCCCATGTAATTCTGAAAAGCCCCTTATGGCAGGTTTGAGTAGCAGGACAGTCTGAGGCTGTACCTTGATGCATCAGAACTACACAAACTGCAGTTTTCCCTAAGCCACAGTTCCCTAAGCCAAAGATCAGGTTTGACTGAGGATCTGAACACTCTAGACTCAAGGATTGTTTTGTGTTAGGGAACCCCCTACTTAAAAACAACCTACCCCACAAGAAACCTCTTTGTCAGCAGTATGGTGAGGTTTTTTGGTTTTGTGGTGGCTTTTTGTTTTCTCCTCAGTTTTCTTGATTTCAGCACTCACCTGTTACATTGCTGCATCCATTCAAAGTTTCCGGTTGGGAGCACTGATCCGTTTGTATGCTGCTTTTTGTAGCTTGCTGAGCAGTTCAGTCACCAACGGGGGCCCAGTGTGCTTGCTGTTTGTGCAGGAGGACTCCAAGCACCTTTTGCATTATTCACTGGAAACTCTTCCAGCAGACTTTTCTGTTACAGTGGAAATCAATCTTTAACAGCAGATAAACCCAGAACACAGCTGAAGACTAACAAATTTAAAATTAAAAAATATTGAAAAATTTTTGGCAATGTCCTTTGTCTCTGAAACTGTTAGCTGCCCTAATTTTGCTGCCATTAATAGGAAGGGAAGTTTTGTCTCTAACAGCAGTGGGCATAAAGTTTGTCCGAACTGAATCCTTCTGTGAATCCTGTATTGGTTTTTCACCACAAATAGCTTCTTATGGTCCTCCAGGAGCTAGTGTGGGGCATATTTCCATGGGGAAGGTTCAAATGTTTAGCTATCTCTTGTAAATCCGGGCACAGACGAGCCATAACCTGCATACATATTCCCCTTGCTGTGTTTCCTGGCTGTGTGCCAGGTAAGAGCCTTAGTTATAACAGCTCTCAGCACCAGAGGAGTTTCTATTAGTTGCTTCTCATGCCATTTACTCTCTCCTTCCTCTCTCAACCTAGCTCTTGGTCCTTGTGGTGAGTAACGAGTTCTCTACTTTGGGCAGGTTTTGGTAGCTGGGACTCTGGCCAGCTTCAAGCTTTTTGCCAACTTGCAAGGACCGGGCAGGTTGGGAAAGCAAACAAACTGTAGTTAGTGCTAGCAGGGCAGCTTCTTGTATCACAACCAGGTCTTGACCTTGCCACTGGAATATTAACTCTCTCTTGATGCATACTGTGGAAAACTTCATAGGAAGTTTTCTTCCCAGTACTAGCAATAAGCCTGTCAAATGTGTGTCCTTTCACTGATCCCTTTCTACTTGTTGGAGATGGAGAAACTGCTGGACTGTCCTGGACAGAACACTCTAATTTGTTTCATCTTGTGTTTTTCTAGGACTATTCTAGTTTTATTTTAAAACTAGCCTGGTTCTTCTAGACTCATTGTTTGGGATCAAGCGGGTCTTGAAAGAAGTCTTGAGGCTTGTAAAAACATATTATTGTGAGCATGTTCTGAGTTGGCTCCCAGGCAAGGTCCCTGATACTCTATGAGAGTTTCTACCTCTGAGCATCACCTTCTGTTTTCTCCATGTCATGTTTATGCCCCAACTGTACTATCACGAGGACATCTAACTGGTGAGACTTATTGGCTGACATGCTGGTTGTACGAGGCCCTTGGAGGTTCTGGTCTTGCATTGCTTGTTGAAATAAAATGTGACTCCATCCCTCTCAGATCTTGAATAAAATGCACATGAGGATTAGTTCAGTCATCCAGCATAGGCATGAAACTTTGCTAGTTGGTCTCCTTACATTCTTTTTTAAGTTGTTGAATACAGAGAAGTATGAAGAAGGTAGTGTAGGGAGAGGCTGGGTTGCCCTCTGGAAGAACCCCTCTCTCCACTCAGTACAGAATAAGCTTAGGGTGACTGGCTGACTAGTTCAGCCTGATAAATGACATGATTAAAGTCGAGGGGTGTCAATATTTACCTTATAAATCAAACAGCAAAGACATCTCACTAAAGCCAGGCTGCTGTTAATGTTATTGAGCGAAACAAAGCTGCACAGCCATCTATCAAATCAATGCCAAATCTAACCATTTAGACTTAATACTGGACTGGAGTTAAGTAGTCACAGTTATCATCTGTCAATGCATGCCAAAAAAATAAATTGTGCTCTGTGGATTCTTCCTCTATAGCTGTCTGTCTAGCTGTGTACCCTAACCAAGGAATTTGTCCGAAGACAACCTGATGCATGTTTCTTAATATGTGTCTACTACCTTGCCCTTCTTTCTGAGGGATTTTATTCCTGGCAGCAGGAAGTTACGTTTCGTGGCTGTTGTTACCCCTAGCTCCCAGCCTAGGCTATGTATCAGGCATGCCTATTCATGCATCAGATACAGCTGCGTAAGATCTGTATTCACTTTTCTTTTTCTGCATTTGCAAACAAGTATACTAAATTAAGCTGAAATCAGTAGTGATTTGCATTCATAAACAGACTGTAGGTTGTAGGGAGGTGTGAGTATTTGTGCTATTCATCTGTCCTTGCTGCTTGTGGGGGAATCTCTAGCAGAAAGGCAGGAAAACGGATGTGGTTTCAGACTTCCCTGGAGACAACCGCAAATGTTGGTTCTCACATAGGGGATGCTAGGATGCAAATCTGGTCAGACTGCCGCTTGTACTAGCTATGCTTCCTGCATGGTAAGCAGAGAGAATTGCTTCATCTATAAGTAATGTTATTTCTGTGAATGGCTGATTGCTTTGGTACAGCCTTCTCAGTAATTGTGTTGGACAGCAGGACTAGTGGCACTAATAGCATTTTCTTCCTCTTTGACTTATGTAGGTATGTGCTGTTACGTAACAACTGCACGTGAAGAGAAGACGGAGTGGAAGTTGCTGTCAGAAGATCCTGTCCTTCTAAGCTGGGCCTGAAGACTTCAGCCAGCTGACTGGTGTGAGTACCCTCAAGGGGGGAAGGGAAGGAGCATGTCACTGGGAGACTTCATCCTGACAGGGCACAAAAATCACACTTGCAGTGAAGGAGTTCTTCCTTGTAGCAGCCTACCTGAGTTGAGCAGCAGAAAGCAGCATGTTAGTGAGAGCACCACTGTGTTATTTGGTGTTTTTTGGTAGGTGAGCCAGTCAAAAGTTCCAGTTCTTGAAAGAGGATCAAGCTCCAAGTGCTATTTTTGTGGTGAATTAGATAAAACTTAATAGTCCCAGCAAGGATTAAATTCACCTTTGTCACTGTCAGATGTGTTCCTTGTTTATTATCTGCATTTGTGACATCCTCCTCTGTTTTCATGCTGGTGTCAGTAAGTATTTTGTGCCTCAGTCTGGGTCAGAAACATATGCAGGTAGTGGGATTTTGGAATTGGAGTGAGGGTTGGGTTTTCGGATAAGGATTAAAGTGTTTAGCAGTTGGCCTTGAATAGATTACAAATCCAGGTTTAGCACTGGTGCTTGCCTGTGTGACAATAGTGAGCTGGACTGATTGCCTCATCTGTAAGAGGCCATTAGATTTCATTTGAGTGGGTGTTGGGATGCGTGACTTGTCTGCTCTAGACCTACACCAAGTCAGGACCTGGACCAGGGTTTGGGGGGAATTATGGAGTTGATGACATAAGGTCAGATCCCCAAGGGGCTACTGGGTTAGATTTAGGGGAGCTGCAGACAGGATAGCTACAAATACTGGTGAAGCTGATTTGTTTTCTTTAGAGGAGATGGTGTGGGGTCTTTGGTACTATTTGGTCTCAGATTAAATCTTGGGTTGAAAGAGGCTTGACAGTTTTGAGATAAAATTTGATATCCTTATTTGTCTGAGGCAAAAGCACCTCAGCCTCTGAGAACTCTGCATTGAAGCAGAAGTCTTAGACATGATAAAGGCTGAGGCTCACATGTCAAGCTCTTGAGACCAATTTTTCCGCTTAGGATGGCTCTGACATGGAGACTGTGGTTAGGAAGGCAAAGGTCAACACAACAGTTGCATAGGGCTGAACCTCTTGCATCCCAGAAATGATAAATACAACTCTTTTGGGCTGCTTTTTTCTTTGTTTCTGAAAAGGCTGAAAGCATCAGGGGAGCAGTCTCTCCTATATCCTTCCCTTTCCTCTGCACAGGTACTCTAGTGGTCTCAAATTTCAGTGCTGTATGATCGTGTCAACTTCTTTCTCATGTAACACTGTGCCTGATGTTTGTCTCCATGCCAGTCACGTCCATACTGGCATTGTGATTCTCAAGGATTGCTTTTATCTCTCTCCTTCAGTGATACAGAGCCATTCCAGTAAGACTGCATCATTGTCTTGCATGCTGAACATGCAGAGGCTCTTGTCAGCCTAACTGCGCTCTGTCTTTTATGAACTAGTCCTCTCTGAGGAATGAAAGTCCAGGCTGTAGAAGAGGAAGCTTGATGAAGCTTTTGGGATGTATCAAGCCAAGTTTTATGTCATTCTGCTCCTGCTGCCTCATAAGAAAAATCACATGGACCCCTCTGTTGAACTGGCACAATTACTTGGTCTCTCCTAGAGATGGGCCGCTTTATACCAGGCCTGAATATGATCCTGTGCTTTGGCTGCTAAAGGGAGAGAAGCTCCCTTCGCTCAGTTTGGCTGGTTTAGAGAGAAGGGAATGTGATTCTTGGTTATCCTTCAGACAGAAAGATGCAGTCAGGCATTGATCTGGAAAAAGAGCATCTCCAAGAAGCCTTGATTCGCAGAGACATTCCTGGGAGCCACAGAGCTTTATGCTCACTCTGTGGCTGACCTATGTCATCAATCAAGCAATGACATTTCCTTTTCTTCTTCCTTTACTACCCCAGATGCTTGCTCAATCCTACTGGCTGTCAAGTGACATCAAGGCATGGCGCACATCCATGCTTCAAGGAGTGCATAGCTTTGACTGCCAGGGCCTGGATAGCCCATATAGGAGTTTGGAGGAGAATGTCTTACTCTTTAGCTCCCATTCCAGGTTAGGTGGAGCTCTTGATGGCTCTTTTTACATTACCTTTTTATATGAGAGAAAATACTTGCTTTGCTGTAATCTGACTCTTTTCCTTTACTTGGAGGCTCATGGGAATGCAGGAAAGTGCTTGTATATCATGCTATTTTGCATTTGTTGTTTTTTTAAGATCTAATTAAAGCATTGTGTTGGTCTTTAATGTGACCTGCAATGCATGCTGCAGATCAACTATTCACTTCAGACCTTTAGTCCAGGCATCTGGCATTTAGTGGAGACAAAACAGTTCTGGGCCTGACAAGCTGGGCCAAAGGCACAGAGAGGGGGGAGGAAATATCTAGCCAGTGCACCAGGAAACAAAGTAAGACTGTGAAAACATAGTGGGGGAAATCTTAACTTTGACTTTTGCTGTCATAGGTGGGGGAGGCAAAGTGCAGAAAATGCTACCAAATAGGTCCAAGGCTCTCTGTTTCTCCCGCAAAGGAGAAAAACTGTTCTTAGTGAGTGCAGAGAACTGTTGCAGAGGTTGCTAAAGAGTTGCTGTTCTCACTGAGCCAGATTTCCCAGGGCCTGCTGATCAATAGCTGCTGCCTTATTCAGTTCACAAATTCATTGCTTCAAGTGAATGCTGAATGTTACTCAGACAAGCTGCTGTAAGGTGCAAGGAGTCCTCCTTCTGCTACTTCTCCTGTGGACAGAGAAGGATGTCTTCCAGAGGAAGGTGTTGCTCAAAATGTCATTTTGGATCCATCCAGCTGGTCACACCATCTCTGCCCATCTTGGACTGTAATAGAGGTTTAAATGGTGCAGCACTGTGCCAGAAACCAGAACAGTTAACAGTGAGAGTGACTTTACAGAAAGCAGGAAGGTGGGGTTTTCATTTTTTTTATTGAACTTTTTGAAACAGATGGAGAGTTGATGAGGCAGAGATGCTGGAAGGGACAGTGTGTTTCAAATGTTTTCCTTAATGTCTTCCCAATCTGCTCATAGATTCATAGCTCCTGCCTGTTCAATATTGGGCAGTTAGTATAGGATGTGAAAACTTCAATGTCCCCAGACCTCCAGAGGTGGATGTTCCCCAAGGTCTGTTGAGATGTGTTTTTTGGGATGAGGAACTTTTGACACAAAGGGTTGTGGAAACAGCTTATGGCCAGATAGGCAGTGCCTTTGTTTACATCGTTCCTAGTCACCACAGTGAAGGGTCTGGACTTTCTATATGGAGACAATGACCCAGGAGCATCTGGACTGATGCTAATAGGCCAGTCCTGCCTCTCTAAATGGCCAATGTTTGTTGGTTTGGCTTTTTTTTTTTTTTTTTAATCTGGTTAGAAGCCAAGAAGAATCTAATCAGAGCCCAGCAGTGCACTGAGCAGCAGTCATTATCATTACTTAGTCATCCAGTTGCTGTTTCTTTCCTCTGAGAAGAAATGTTGGTGTGGTGGGAGGGGATGGGGGAAGATCAGCTTTTGTCTTCATCTCCTTGAAGAGGTTGGAGCACGTTTCCTCTCAATACACCTATACCCAAGTGTTGCCCCTAAAGGATGGATTTAAAGTCAGTGAGGCCTTCAAAACTTTGTGGCAGCCACAGTTTGAGGGAGAGGAATCAATGAGAAGGGAGAACTTAAACCCTCATCAAGTCCCAAAGGCAATGACTTTCGGCTGTGAACTGTGAGATATGATTAATGTCTCATTAGCTTTCACAGTTACAAATGTAACTGGTTATTAATTCCAACCAGCTGGCCAAATTAGAGGCAAATCCAAATTTCTCTTCAGCCTGGTGTTTTGGGCTGGCTCTCAACTTGTTAAGGACACACAGAGCAAGTACATTGGGCAGAACTGCTGGGACCTAATTTCCATGAATGCCCAGGCTTGCCTACTGGAAGATATGCTGCTGCTTTTGGCTCTGTAGTTCTGTTCCTGGACAACAGAGAATCAGCAGTGGGTAGCCTGATTTGATATTCACTTGCCGTTAGCAATTAGGGTGCAGGGAAAGCTCTGCAGAAAAATACTGAGATGGAAAGAGAGCACAGTCTGAATTTTCTTTGCTGCTTCTGCTATTTCTGCTAGTTCCCTTCTTTACTGCACTTCTACCTCTCCTTTTTTGCCCTCAGCAACCTACCAAATCACTGTCATTGAAAGAGGCAGTAAGCTTAGGTGCTGACGCAGAGATTATGCTAAATATCTGAGTATTTTGAGTCTGAAGAAAAATGAGAGAATTTTAGAAAAATCAGCTTCTTTGTGTGTCATATAGGAGATGATTTTGCACTGACTGTACCTTAAGGTTAGTTTAAGCTGTACAACACAAAGGTTAAGAGCACTGGTAAACAGCTAGTGCCATTACAAAAGCTTTTAATATTGATTGGGCTGTATTCTGTTACTTTAGCAGCCAGCGGTGCCTTTCATTGAATGAGGTGCTGGTTGGATCAATAAGGATGGCCCTGGTCTGAACTGAGTGTGTTATGTGAAGTGCCATTGGTGGTCTTCTGTAGTAAAGGAAGAAAGCCTGGGTTCTCCTGTCACATACAATCCAGTGGTCATTGAGCATAAGCCTTGTGTACCACGCCGCAGTTTGGCACATATGCCACAAATCACAGCATGCAAATTTTGCTTCCATTTTGCCTAAGTGTAAGTGATGTTACAGGATACAAAGGGCTGGAGATGCTTATGTGGGCATGAGGATGAACATTTTGTTGATTGCATGCTGTAACTACCATTAATTTCATGGACTTTGGTAAGTACAGCTGAGCCCTAAGTTTTTCCCCTGCAGTGTTGTATTTAGCAGGTCCTGAATTGCACAAAATTGCTTGGACCGGAGTCAGCAATTGTTCAGGGTAGATGGGCAAGGATATACTTTCTTTTATGTATGAGAGTTTAAATAGGTCAGCAGATCAGTGGGAGCAGGGAGGAACTGCTACTCAGGTGACTGCTGAACAGCTGATCACTCCCAGCTTGTGTTGGTGTGAGGCAGTGCTTTCCAGATCCTGCTGAGTTCTCCAGTCA